CTTGAAAACGTCCAGCGAAGGAGCCTCCACCACCTCCCGAGGCAGTCTGTTCCACTGCTCAACCACTCTCACAGTTAGGAAGTTTCTCCTGATATTTAGCCGGTAATGACTCCCTTGTACTTTCCACACATTCGATCTAGTCTTGCAATCCGGAGCGAGAGAGAATAGATCCTCTCCATCTTCTACATGACAGCCCTTCAAATACTTGAAGACTGCAGTCATGTCCCCTCTAAGCCTTCTCTTTCCCAGGCTAAACATACCCAGCTCTTTCAACCTTTCCTCATAAGACTTGGATTCCAACCCTCTCACCATCCTGGTTGCCCTCTTCTGGACACGCTCGAGCTTGTCACCATCCTTCCTAAAATGTGGTGCCCAAAACTGGACACAGGACTCCAGGTGGGGCCTGACCATAGCGGAATAGAGTGGAACTATCACCTCCCGTGATCTGGACACAATGCTTCTGTAGATGCATCCTAAGACTGCATTAGCTTTCTTCACAGCCACATCGCACTGCAGGCTCACGTTTAGCTTGTGATCAACCAGAACACCCAGATCCCTTTCACGTGTGCTGCTGTCAAGCCAAATCCCTCCCATTCTATATCTGTGTCCTGACTTGGATAGCCCAAGCTAGTCCAACTTTGTCAGATCTCAGAAGCTGAGCTGGGCGGGCCCTGATAGAAAAGAGCAGAAGTCCAGTAGCATCTTAAAGGCTAACAAAATTTGTGGCAGGGGAGGAGCTTTTGTGAGTCACGGCTCACTTTCTGAAGAAGTGAGCAGTGACTTGAGAAAGCTCATCTCCTGTGACAAATTTTGTTAGTCTTTAAAGCGCCACTGGACTCTTCCTCTTTTCTACCGGGACCTTCTGTGTGCAAAGTAGATGCTCCACCAGTGAGCAACGGCCCCTCTAAGGGTGCGTTCAGACGGGGGCTTTACAACGGTTAGGGTGCCGGTTCCAACCGGTGTACTTACGGGCGTTCAGACAGCGAACATCTGCCTCCCGTCCCTAACCGTTGTAAATCCTTTTAAACCGTTGCACTCTGCCACTAGGTCCGAAGTGGTGGTAAACAGAGTGCAACGGTTGAAAACGGTGCACCCCGGCGTCTGATTGCTCTCCTCCGTTGCACAGCCACTTCCGTCGGAAGCCTGAGGCTTCCGGCTTTCCCCCGCCATTTTTTTAAAAAAACTAAGCGATATGCGCTCAGGCGAAGCTTCGCCCTGAGCGTTTGTTAATTTTTTTTTTTTAAAGCCCTTACTTTACCGTCCCGGAGGAGTCCGGGACTTAAGCGAGGCCAGGTTGGGCTTTAAACTTTAAAGGTAAGTGCTGCCTGTGCGCATGCTCAAACAGTCCTTTAAAAAAAAAAACGCAGATGCCCGCAGCGTGTGAGCGGGCGTCCACCGGAGGGCTCCGCAGACAGGAGGGTGAGTCTGATCGCGTTTCTGCTGGCATAAACTGCACCGGTTCCAACCGGCTGAAACGCCCCGTCTGAACGCACCCTAAGAGAGGTGGTCTTTGGCTTCTGACCAGCAACCCCCCCCTTTGTGGGATTTGAACTCACACCTTCTGTTTCCCCCAGAGGTGCTTTTTCTCCATTCTCAGAGCCTCTGCTCGGCATACAGAAGGTCCCAGGTTCGATCCCCGGCATCTCCAGTTAAAAGGATGAAGTGATAAGTGACGTGAAAGCCCTTGAACTGCTGCTGCCAGTCAGAGTAGACAATACTTACCTTGATGGACAAGGAGTCTGTTTCAGTATAAGCACTATCATGTTTCGGTGAGCGGCCGTGGCTCAGTGGTAGAGCGTCTGCTCAGCATGCGGAAGGTCCCAGGTTCAGTTCCCGGCATCTCCAGTTAAAAGGTGATAAGTGATGCGAAAGTCCCCGAACAGCTGCTGCCAGTCTGAGTAGACAATACTTACCTTGATGGACAAAGGGTCTGGTTCCGTATAAGGTCAGTTTCGTGCATATTCTATGTGTATTCCCTGAGTTTCCTGCTTCGCATCCCATCCCATCCCTCCCAAATAAGCCTCGATCCGTTTCCCTCTTACAGATGGTCTTCCGCCCCCCTCTGGACCTCTACGACGTCCTCATCCACCTGAATCCCAAACAGATCCCAAGACACCTGCAAGCGGTGGACCGGCCAGTCAAATCGTTCAGCCGAGGGATGTTAGCGAGTGACGCTGCGGTGAAAACCCTGGCCTTTCCGGTGGTGGACTACGACCCGGTCCAGCTGTATCTCCGGGAGCTGCAGGTAAGTGTGGTGTCAGGAGACAGGAGGTGGGAGAGTGATAAACTTTGTGGTAGTCTTGGTGATGGAAAGTGGTGGACTATGACCCGGTCCAGCTGTATCTCCGGGAGCTGCAGGTAAGTGTGGTGTCAGGAGACAGGAGGTGGGAGAGTGATAAACTTTGTGGTAGTCTTGGTGATGGAAAGTGACAGTGCCGTGGTCGTTTGTCAAGCACCTGCAGAGATATGGCAGATGATGATGGTTGATCATGATATTAAAGGATCACTTATATAGCTTCCGTGCGCCTCGGTGTTTAGTCATGCTGGCCACGTGACCACGGAAACGTCTTCGGACAGCGCTGGCTCTTCGGCTTGGAAACAGAGATGAGCACCGCATCCCTAGAGTCGGATTCGACTGGCTTTCGAGCAAGGGAAACCTTTACTTGTATAGCCTCGGTGTTTAGTCATGCCGACCACGTGACCATGGGAATGTCTTTGGACAGCGCTGGCTCTTCAGCTTGGAAACATATGAGCACCGCATCCCTAGAGTCGGATTCGACTGGCTTTCGAGCAAGGGAAACCTTTACTTATATAGCCTCGGTGTTTAGTCATGCCGACCACGTGACCATGGGAATGTCTTTGGACAGCGCTGGCTCTTCAGCTTGGAAACAGAGATGAGCACCGCATCCTTAGAGTCAGATTCGACTGGCTTTCGAGCAAGGGAAACCTTTACCTTTACTTATATAGCTTCAGGTGTGTTGATCTGAAGCAACAAAACAAAGTTTTGAGTCCAGACTGGCCTCAGACTTTATATAGCTATTACTCTGTCTCTGATAGCAGCTACACAGGGTGTGATTAATCATTCAACTCTAATACATTATCGGAGTTAAACGTGCACATTTCGATTTTTAGATGAACGACGAAACGGTTTAATTTTTCAAAGCAAAATCCCTTTTTGAAAATGTTTGCATCAAGCAAACACGGGTTTGCAGCCATGTAATTCATGAAGGCCCTGGGTATCTGGAGAAGCGTGCTTGCACACGAAAGCGTATACCCAGAATTAAACTTTGTTGGTCTTAAAGGTGCCGCTGGGCTCAAACTTTCTTCTGGTGTTATGACTGTAAGTGAAACTTTTGTCCATATTATGTGCATGGTCCACCTACCAAGCTCATGTTACCACAGAACAGTTTCCAGTTAGTTATATTTGTGATTGGTTTTTATTAACGTGGAGTTTAACTCATGAACCCGTGTGCGGTGAATTTTGTCGGGCCCAAATAACTAAGAGAAATAGGAGGCAGTGTTGCAGTAGGGGCTGCAGTGGCTCAAGTGGTTAAGACCGTGAACTGCAGACTGGAAGGTTGGTCGTTCAGCAGTTCGAGACCCGAGTGCCGCGTGACGGAGTGAGCTCCTGTCTCTGGCCCCAGCTCCTGCCAACCTAGCAGTTCGAAAGCAAGAAACTGCAAGTAGATAAATAGGCACCGCTTCGGTGGGAAGGTCACAGCGTTCCGTGCGCCTCGGCGTCTGGTCATGCCGGCCACATAACCACGGAAACGTCTTCGGACAGCGCTGGCTCTTCGGCTTGGAAACGGAGATGAGCACCGCACTCCTCGAGTCGGATTCGACTGGCCTTCGAGCAAGGGAAACCTTTACCTTTATTGCAGGAGGGGTGGAAACTGTTTGTAGGTTTGCACTTCATTTATATCTCATCTTGTTCCCCAGTGAAGACCCAAAAGCGGCTTTCAGCATTCTCCTCTCCTCCATTTTTGTCCTCACAACATCCCTGTGAGGTAGGTTAGGCTGAGTGTGTGTGACAGCCCAGCAGGCCTCTGTGGCAGAGGGGAACACGAACCTGGTTCTCCCAGACCCTAGCCTGAGACTCTCACCGCTAAGAACAACATAAGAACATAAGATATGCCAATGTTGGATCAGGCCAAAGGCCCATCCAGTCCAACACTCTGTATCACACAGTGGCCAGAAATACCAGGTGCCATCAGGAGGTCCACCAGTGGGGCCAGAACATTAGAAGCCCTCCCACTGTTGACCCCCCCCCAAGCACCAAGATGACAGAGCATCACTTGCCCCAGAGTCCCTATCTATACCTTGTGGCTAATAGCCACTGATGGACCTCTGCTCCATATGCTTATCTAATTCCCTTTTGAAGCCGTCCATGCTTGTAGCCGCCACCACTTCCTGTGGCAGTGAATTCCATGTGTTAATCACTCTTTGGGTGAAGAAGTACTTCCTTTTATCCATTCTAACCCGACGGCTCAGCAATTTCATGGAGTGCCCACGGGTTCTTGTATTGTGAGAAAGGGAGAAAAGTACCTCTTTCTCTACCTGCTCTTTCCCATGCATAATCTTATAAACCTCAATCATGTCACCCCTCAGTCGTCGTTTCTCCAAGCTAAAGAGCCCTAAGCGCCTTAACCTTTCCTCATAGGGAAAGTGTTCCAACCCTTTTATCATTCGAGTTGCCCTTTTCTGCTATAATAATTCAAAAAAACCCTCTCCAAAGCTATAATATCCTTTTTAAGGTGTGGTGACCAGAACTGCACACAGTATTCCAAATGAGGTCGCACCATTGATTTATATAGGGGCATGATGATATTGGCTGAACTGTTTTCAGCTATTCCACACTGGCTCTCAATCTGGTCTTTGAGCAATACGTGGACGGTCTTCCACCCCCTCGTGCCATCGAGAGGGCGGATTTTTCTACTTAAACCACCAGAGACAATAATAAACAGGCTTTCTGGAGAAGAGCAGAGTCGTTCGTGTCAAAACCACAGGATGATTCAGACGCTGTGGAAATCCACAATCCGGACCAGATGCTCCCTGGAATATACGTCGGCTGGGAAACGTCCCTCAGATGAAAAGGCAGGCAGATCGGGATGAGACCTGTTCTCACCGTGTGAGCGCGTGCGTGAGTCGTGTGTCGCAAGATGAACGCCGAAGCCTCCTTGGCACACCACCCGGCTTGGCGACTCTTGGCACGCCACCGGGGTTACCTCAGGGAAAGGGGCATTTCTCTTCCCGCTTTAATTGAGTCCTCATTTTTTTATTGCGCTGGGGTGGCGCGTGACACCCTCTTCGAAGCAGCGGCGTTGACTGAGTTGAGCAACCGGCTCCTCGTTGACGGCTCTGTGTGCGTCACGGCGTATCCCGCTGTGCCTGGAAATCCCCGCCCCTGGCACCGTCTTTCCCTCAGAAATCCAGAACTGGAGAAAGGACAGAGGGAGGGCGACCCAGACGACGAGGGGGTTGGAGCGCCTTCCCTGTGAGGAAAGGCGGAAGAGCCTGGGACGTCTCCGTTTAGTAAAAAAGTCGACTAAAGGGGGGGACACGAGAGAGGGTTTTTTTGAATTAAGAGAATGTAAGAGACACCAGTGTTGGATCAGGCCAAAGGCCCATCCAGTCCAACACTCTGTGTCACACAGTGGCCAGAAATACCAGGTGACATCAGGAGGTCCACCAGTGGGGCCAGGACACTAGAAGCCCTCCCATTGTTGCCCCCCCCCAAGCACCAGGAATACAGAGCATCCCTTGCCCCAGACATAAGAACATAAGAGAGAAGCCACTGTTGGGTCAGGCCAAAGGCCCATCCAGTCCAACACTCTGTGTCCCACAGTGGCCAGAAATACCAGGTGCCATCAGGAGGTCCACCAGCAGGGCCAGAACTCCAGAAGCCCTCCCGCTGTCCCCCCCCCCCAGCACCAAGAATACGGAGCATCACTTGCCCCAGACAGAATGTTCCCTCTATTCCTTCTGGCTAATAGCCACTTCTCCTGGGCTGAGGGGAGAAATGGCCTTACAACCCCAAGCTTACTTTTTCCCCACCATAGAGAACAATGGAGGGGATAGGGGAAACCTGTTTCGGGGCCCGTAGAATTGGACCCCCTGGTCCAATGTTCTTCAAACCTGGTTGGTATCTTGGGGAGAGGCTCCAGCAGCTACCCTGCGAATTTGGAGCCTCTCCCTCAAACCCCCTGCCCTCCAGCCCCCAGAATATACCCTATGTTTTTGCCATTGACTTCAATGGCCTATAGGCTATAATGGGGCTGAATTGCCTCCGAAATTCGGTGGCAATTCGGTGGCAAGCCGATTCAGATCAGAGAATCTGAATCAGCTGGCAGCAGCCCAAAAGGGGTCCGAATGGGCCATTTTCGGGGGATGCATTTGATTTGACGAACCGAATGCACATCCCTATTCTGGACGGTCAACAACAGGGCACAGGGCTGAGGCCTTCCCCTCCCAATTCTGGGATTCAGAGGCTTAGTGCCTCTGAATGTGGAGGTTCCCCTCAGTCCCCATGGCTAGTAGCCACTGATGAGACTATTCTCCATGAATCTATCTAATCCCCTTTGAAAGCTGTCTGTTCCTGTGGCCATCACTACATCCTCTGCCAGCGAATTCCACATGTTAATTAGTCTTCTGTGTAGAGTAGTATTTCCTTTGGGCCATCCCGAACCTACTGCCCATTGGTTTTTGGATGCCCCCGAGTTCTCCTGTTTTGGAAGAGGGAGGAAAAGTTCTCTTCGTCAGCCGTCTCCACCCCATACATGATTTTGTAAACACGGTGACCCTCTGAAAGTGTGAAGGCTACTTTGTGTGTGTTTTTGGAGCCTTTTCTCCAGAACTGCAGCCACAGCAAGAGAGAGATTGCCCTCTGTACATGGGCGCCGCACCCTCAAACCAGTCAAATGCTCACTTATATTCCTCCCCCTGCCTACTTTAGTGCGTGCCATGGCCTCTTCAGCACAGGCTTAAGTTTACTTTATTCGGGAAATGGCTTTCTCTAATGGGTTTCCTGGATGCCAAAGGTAGATCTTCGTGCCCCCCCTCCCCCCGCTTTCACCTGGGCTTGACCGTCATGGGATTTGCCCAGATTTACTTACACATGGTGGCTGGTATGAGGATTAGAGAAACAAAAGAGAAACCTCCCTTAAGCCACTGATTATTATTTTTTTGAGTAACAACCAATTTGGCAAGATGCGCCCCCGGGCAAATGAGCATCTTTTACGGGAATGA